TCCTTCCTTCCTTCCTTCCTTCCTTCCTTCCTTCCTTCCTTCCTTCCTTCCTTCCTTCCTTCCTCCCTCCCTCCCTCCCTCCCTCCCTCCCTCCCTCCCTCCCATTGAAATATTGCCTTTTCCAAGTCAGATAAATCACACAGTTCCAAAAGCTGTTCCTTAACACCTGGAATAATACCACTTTTCCAATTTCTCAATATATTTATTTTAGCCGCCCCCCATGCTTGATAAGCAGTCAGATTCCAAGCTTTGGTATATAATTCAACATCACATTAATATCTTTAGCATTTAAAGATTCTCCCATGAATCTACTTATATACATTAAAATGCCATTCTAAAAGGATATCAGAGGATCACATAGCCATATCATATGGGTGAATGAACCCTCTGGGGTATCCAATACACTCAAACTACAATTTTTTGATGAGTCAACTTTAATCTCAGATCTGTTGATACCATTTTAATATTTTTAAGGCCATGAAGCCATTGATGGGGCATTATTGGAGATTCTAGTTGTTGTTATTATTTTATTATTACTTTATTATTTATTATATGTGAATTTATTAGCTGCCCAACTCCAATGGATTCTTCCTTCTTTTGTTCATGTTTGGAATATCTCAGAAATGTCCACTTTAGAAATATTCTTGAGCTTTCAATACAGATACGTTATGGGTTTTACTTCTGTCGTGGATTCCATCAAATAAGAGAGCATCACAGATGCTTCTGAAGTGACCAAAGTGTCTGGCCCGTGCTGATCCATTAAAAGATGCTTAAGGTGAAGATATTGCCATCGTGGTGAAGTGGGAAGATGAAATTCAATTTCAAGTTGGGTCAAATCCTTAAAACAGTCATTATATAACAATTGGTTCAAAGTCCTGATCCTGGCTTCCACAAGCTTTCCAATAGAATGTTTTACCACATATTTTCAGAGTAGATTTTTTCCCCAAGAATTAAATATTCATGAGTCTTGTCATCAAAAGCTAATCTATGCCCCAATATGGCCCAAATATTTCTTACCACATGCATTCCTGCAAATAAAACATATGCCCTTATTATATGTTGTTCCAAGAATTTGCCAGGACTGGAAGGGAAGTAGATAATGCCTTTCCCACATGGCCCATAAACGATAATAACTATATGTTCATTCCACATAGTAAGAGTTGATAAGATATAAGACTAATGATATTTCTGCAAAATGGATAGATTAAGGACTACTTTCTTCAAATTTTAATCTCAGTTTAGCTGAACAAAACCTTAGTGGTCCAGTATCCCAAATAAATTGATTAAGTACTATTTTCATAGTTTTCCCAAAGGAAACTATGTGGAATGTCCATGAATTCATAAACAATCCTGCTGAATCTGAGATTTCACTTTGTTTTTTCTTAGATAACAGATCTTATCTAAGTTTTGAATGAATGTTGAGAGAGAGAATGAGACAAAATGAACAGCAATACAGAGATCTCAATATCAGGGGAGATAATTTAATCTACATTAAAAAATCAATGAAACGTTTGACACAAGATGATCAATTTTATGATTTGGGAAAGGGAATGGCATTATCTTTTCATGACTATCTGTCAGACAGGAGACATGAGTTATTAGGCAAATAATGAGATTTTAAAAAGCATAAAAGGAAACTTATAGTCATATGCTTTACTCCTTTGCCTTAGTTATATTTTGCTACTGTTGTCATTTGTTTTAGTCTGTAATAGGTTTACAATTTAATGGGAAAAAAAGACACTACTTCAAAAAATGTTTTAAGAATAAATACTGTGTGACTATGATCCTAGCGGCCAAATGAATTGTTTAGCTAAAACAGAATCCCATCCTGAGTTTCAGAGTATAGAGCAATTGCATGCTTGGGAAAACGAGACATGGGGGACAAGCAAATCCTGCAGGAATGACTTTGATAGATGGTGAGAATCAAGAACATTGAAATCTAGTTTGGTGGGGTAGAAGTGGGCTTGGCTGTTTACTTTCAGTCAGAGGCTGTGCTGAAGATTAAAAACATTAGCTCTCCCATGTTTACCTACGGGATGTAGCTGAGCAACCGAGAGGTTCTGCATTTGCCTTGTTAAATAAAGGAGGAAGAAAGAGGGGGACTCAGAAGTTAACACTCGGACCAGGAGATGGTAGAAAATGAGCCTTTTCCTCCTGTTCCTACAAGGGGAAGGATGGACCTGATTTGGAACTGTCTTTTGCCCATTCTCATCATGGAGCCACAGTGGAAATATCTGGCAGAACACGATCCCCAGTATGAAGGTGGGAAAAAACTCAAATTGGAAGGCAAGGACCTCTTGTCTGTCCCTCGCCGGCTGTTTGCACTGGAAGGATTAAGGATTTTGGAGATGAGCCCAGAGCGAGAGAGCTGCCTCAAGTACCAGATGACTCTCGTCCCTCGTGAAATTGGTCACTTGAGGAACTTAACCTTGCTCTACCTGGACTCTAACAACTTAAAAAAAGTTCCTATTGAGATTGGCAGTTTGACCAAGTTAGAAAGGCTCACCCTTAGCAGCAACAGCTTAATTTCTCTGCCTGAAGAAATAGGATGTCTCCAGAGACTTCGCAGCCTGCATCTAGCAAACAACTGCCTGGCAGAACTTCCAGCACCTGTTTGTCAGCTGAGGAACCTGGTTTTCTTAGATGCAACTGATAATCACATTCACACCATCCCAGATGCCATTTGCCAGCTACAGAAACTGGAGACTCTGCTTCTGCTTTACAATTCTCTCAAATGTTTGCCCAGAGGACTCTGCTCTTTAAAGGTCCTCAGCACCCTCTGGGTTGGTCACAACAAGCTAACGGAGCTTCCTTCAGACTTTGGTCAACTGGTTAATTTGGACTGGGGTAACAACAATTGCTCAGGCAATTTTGAAGGAAATCCGTTGAAGCACCCACCCCCTGAAGTATGCAGTGGGGGACCTGCTGAGATCAGAAACTATTTTGCCTCTCAAAGGAGATAAAAATATAGGGCTGTGAATGTGATGGGGAGGGGGGAGGAGAAATGCATTCCATTTCCCGGAAGGAGACATGTTATAGTTTTGGGTTTATATGGTTGATAGTCCAGCTTCTATGGAAGAATGACTGTGCAGTTTTCTTTCCATTTTAAAATAAATTGAGATGTCTATAACGGTGGGAGAGGTGGTAGGAAAGAGAAGAAGAGGTGAATGGTCTTAGCTGCAGTGGCAGTAGATGCAACATTGGAAGATTTGGAAGGCCAGGTTGGGGACAGATCCTCCAGGAGAAAAATCCATCTTTGAGGTCACTACGAGTCAACACAGACTTGATGACTATTCATGAAATGGGTGCAGGGTCCTTATGTTGTTGAGAAGATAGTCATGGAAAGTAAGAATGTCCTGGCTTTTATTATTATACAACCTTCTCTCTAAGAGTTTACAGCCTGCTGGTTTCCCATGCTCCCATTAAATCTTTAGGGTGAGGAAATGTTGGGAAGTGTGGGAAGCCAGGGAGGCAGTAGAGTGAGATGAAACAGGGAAAGCAACAATCACAGGATCGGCACCTTCTGTCCCTTAAATTTCCTTTTTAAAAACCTTGTGAGAATGAAGTGGTAAAACCAGGTATCTTTTATGCAAGGGGAGAAAATGCTCAGAAAATGTAGCATCACTCCTTTTAAAAAATATATATAATTGGGTGAAGTTAATGCCAATGTTTTTATTCCTGCTATTCTATTGCATTTTTCTACTTTTTTTCCAAACTTCCTTATACAGTTGAGTAGGAAAAATGTTGTCTGGGGAAGGGGAATCAAAGAAGAAAGATATTTTGGATGAAATTCGTCTGAGACATGGGATTTTGATGTTTATTATGTAGTCACTGAGGGAACTGTGTGATTGTCCTGATCTTTAGTAATTGGTCATCTCTCTGTTGTCTGCAGTTTCCTTGGTTTCCCATGCTTTGGTCATATTCCAAAAGTAGATATAAACTAACTATAATGTGTTTAATTTTTCAAAGACCAGGAAGTGAGGGTAGCTAGAGCAGCTACAGCGTGTTTGAGAGATGTTCAGGAGAAGGAATAATACACAACACTCTTGACCGCCTCAAAAAAGTCAGCAACTTCAACAAGAACTCAAAAATGACAGCAAAATAAATTCAAAGTGCCTCATGGATAAAGCAGAAAGTAGAATCTTTCTTCTTAGGGGAAATAAAAATAGAGATTGGGAAATGAGAGTATTTCCTAAACATCAGAGCAGTTTTACAATAATTTTATCTTTGTTGGGAAGATGAACATTTCACAACTACATTTCTGTGAACTTCCATGTGTTTTGCTAAAGATTTGGGGTGGATGTGGGGGTGGCTAGAAGAATAATAATTCAGTAATCCTTCCAATGGTATCTGTTAGGAATCTTTTCATTATTCCTTTGCAAAATGAGAGAAAACAAAGTCTGCTTCTTCCCAGTTCTCAGATAGCATCAAATTTCATACATCTAAATAACAGATTTATGCAGAACAAATGTTAACTTGAGTTGTTGTTAACTGAATTATACCCGCGCCTCATTTTAATCTATGCTTCCTTGTGATATTTGTTATTTGATCCCCTCTTCTGTACACCATCGACGGTCATTGCCGATAAAAGTCTCCACTTGCCACACTTTGCAAATCGGTTTGGTTCACTGAATTTTCTTTGATGAGCCTGAAATTGGGGTATAAAATAATTCAACCACAAATTCTTCTCAGAGTAGATGCAGAGCTTCCCCCCCCCCACACTTCTGGAAGAACCCATGGGATGTGAGAGGACCCTAGCTACTCATGAAATCCAGCTAAGTGTGGTTGGACAATGTGATTACTCTTACTTTAAATGTTGAAGGATGCCAAAAGGTTTCAGTAACACTAACTTTACTGAAACTATTAAAAACCTACTCCACTTACAGCTCTGCTGAGATCTTTAACAGATGAGTTTTTTCTTTCTTCTAATGCTTCTTGGAATAACTATATGGCCAGTTGGAGGTATGTATCCATGTTGTCACTCCTGCAAGGGTCATACTTATCTGCAAAGAGTTTATTGCTGCTCTAAAGGTGCCGAGATTTTTAAAGGTTAGGCATCATCTGGAATGGATTTCTTAGCCACCAGGTAGAGTTTAGAAAAGTAATTCCATTTTCTGTTCATGTTGTCTGCTGTATTTTTTCAATACAGTGGTACCTCGGGATACGAACTTAATCCGTTCTGTGACTCTGGACGTATCCCGA